GATGCAGCTGAAACTTGGCTGATCAAAAAGAGAAGATCATGCTAATGTACATTAAAACTTATGTATAAGTTCTTTCTGTTTAACATATTCTCTGTGCCAAGCAGAAAAGTCAGACTTGAAGTAAACCTAACACTGCATCAAGGATGCCAGCATTCAGAAGGTTGTTAAGGAATGTCTCTTTTCTTCCTTTCACATGCAGCAGTTCACTAAACACCAGTACTAGAGATGGAGTGTGGGGTGTGATGAGATTCATTAGCTTCATCCCCATCTGTAGCCTTGCTGTTAGCACAGGATCACCCCCTTCAGCAGCATCACAGTCTGCCAGATATCTTTGATGAAGGAGTATGAAATGAACTTGAAATACTGTAATACTGTGGCTTGCAGAAAAAAAAAAATAGAAAAAATTAGGGAAGATATCACTGAAATTGAGACATGGAGATATAGGAGTCAAACTCATCTCAGCACTGGCAATGGAGATAACAAAGAGCAACAACCACAGGCTGCATCTTGAGCATTCTGGGCTGGATACTGAGTATGACATTTCCATTATCAGGGAAGGGTAGCAGTAGAATAGGTTGCCCAGAGAAGTTGTCAGATATCCACCCTTGACTCATCACCCAAGACTCGTTTAGATCAAATCACATCTGAGTTGATCTAGTGTTTGTTAATAGTCCTGCTTCAAGCACAAGGTTAGACTGGAGGCAGTGGAGGCTTCTTGAAACCAAGGAGAGACTTAAGGCAACAGATGATCATGAAACGTTATAATTTTCTCTGACCATAGTTATGTCTTCACTCTACAATTATAAAATCAGAGAATCATAAATCAGAGAATGGTGTGGGTTGGAAGGGACGTTAAAGCTCATCCAGTTCCAACCCCCTGCCACAGGCAGGGACACCTTGTACTAGACCAGGTTGCTCAAAGCCCCATCCAACCTGGTCTTGAACACTGCCAGGGATGGGGCAGCCACAGCTTCTCTGGGCAACCTGTGCCTGTGCCTAACCACCCTCACAGGAAAGAACTTCTTCCTAAAATCTAATCTAAATCTCCTGTCAGTTTAAATCTATCCCCTATCACTATCTGCCCTTGTAAAAAGTCCTTCTCCAGCTTTCTTGTAGTCCAGTTTAGGTATTAGAAGGCTGCTCTATATTCTCCCCAGAGCCTTCTCTTCTCCAGGCTTAACAAACCCAGCTCTTTCAGCCTGTCTCCATAGGAGAGGTTCTGCAGACCTCAAAGCATCTCTGTGTCCTCCTCTCAACTTGTCCCAACAGCTCCACTCCCTTCTTATGTTGGGGGCCCATAGCTGGATGCAGAACTGCAGGTGGGGCAGAGAAGATGTGGAGAATGCCCTCCCTCGTCCTGCTGGTCATGCTGCTGGTGATGCAGCCCAGGAGCACACACTTCTGTGTCATCAACCAACACCCTCAAGTCCTTCTTCTGACACTAAGATAACAGCCCACATAGCTGTTGCTATGACTATTTTTTTATCTTCAGTACACATTAACATATCTCCTTAGTCATTAATTATTGGGGAGGGATGTTATTTTTGCTGGAGAAAGGCTATATGTGTTCTTCAGTTGGTGTGATTTTGGACAAGAAAAATCAGCTGCAAATGTGTTCATTTATCTTGCTGGCTACCACTTCTGTTGTCTTTCCCTCCACACAGCTTGTATAGAGGTGTGAGTCTTGTTGAAGAGAATACATAACACATCATCTTTGTTCATATTCCTTTCTGATAACTACCCTAAAGCCTAAAAAATGCTTTCAAGTTTCCAAGGCCTAATATGTTATCAAAACTGGTGAGTCGTTTGTGCATTTGTTCTTACCCCAGGGCAAACAGCAGGCAATAAATAAATTATTACAGATTCCCTCCATTGACAGCTGTCCACCTTAATAAATTACTTCCTACTTTCTATGGGCTCTAAGCATGCACCATTACCATACAGCTAAAACGGGCAAGGTTGCAGATATCTACAGATAAGCACATTACCTGGTGCTTTATTTGTCAAGGCAAAGAAATAGGAAATTTTAGGGCACAAGTCACCTTTTATGTTTTAAAAGTCTGGTTAGGGTAAGATGACAAACACCCAGAAAGTACCTATTCCTTCCCATTATCTACACAGAGAATATAGGCAAAAGCTCAAATGTGGCACTGTGGCCATCCTTTGGTATCTGGCCTTGTGAATCCCACTCACTGTCACTTTTTAAGTCAGCTCTATTGTGTGTCTGACATCTAAGCCTGGGAAGAAAGAGGAGAAAAATAAGTAGCACATCTACTGTACACTGCTTGTGCTGAAAGTTAGTACCCCAGCAAGGGCTGGGTAGACAGTCTGAATGGTTTAATTATCAAGTCACCATTCCAAGTTTGATTTATGGTATAATCAACAAATATTTCAGGGTGCTGAGTTGATACAACATAACATTCTGATTGAATGGCACTGTGCAGTACTCATAGGACACATCTCACAAATGAAGAACAAGTTAAATGTCAGAAAGAATTGTCCGTTAGTAAAGAATCGCTATTATTTATAGGGTATTTGTAGAGTTTTTCAGGAATTCATGTTGGTCCTGATGCTGAGGAATATTTCCTGCTTTTTTTCTGGGTATAGATAAATCAATGTCAGACAATAAAGAAAGATGAAGACAAGACAACAGTGCCCAGACTTGTCCTTTTGATGCGTCTTACAGAAAATCATCTTCTTTTCCATCCCCAAGCTTGCACTCTAGAACCAAATCTCAGGCACATAGGCTGTGTACCACAGCTCTATCCATCTGAGATGGAGACATGGAGAGGATATTTGGCTCAGCTCCCTCAGCCTTTCAGAAGTGTATCCCATGAATGCAGTCCAAGCAAAGAACAACCCTTTCTAGTGGAGCATGGAGTGCAGGCTGTCTTCCCGGATGGGAACAGCCAGTACCTGGTCTAGTAGTCCTGGTTTCTTGCAGGGTTTAACAAGAAACAATTTCATGGGCAGAAAATGTATTTTTGGCTTTCTTCTCCAGTCTTCTGCTCCAGTAAAGGTCATTGTCAATTCAGTATCCCATTAAACTGTTTCTTTGGTAATAAATGTTGACAGTTACATTTTAACACCCAAGATACATTGTCTTCTCTCCAGCATCTAGTTGAGGGACCCTCTTCGTTAGGTCATTCTATTGCCTGCTGTCCACAAACCTTGGAAAAAGATGAGATTTATGTCAGTTCCTGTGCCTGCCCTAGTACCATTAGCAAACTGAAATCTTCAAAAGGATCTTGCTGATCATTCTGCCAGTGAGCAGAGAAATCTCTCAATGCCTTCTAGCAGGCAACGGGTTTGTTTTCAGTCCACATCTAGTTATTTTTGCCAAGTGGAGCTGATTTAAATATTGGTCATAATGACAGTTGTGTACATAGGGAAAATTAAGCTGTGGTGAGCCCTTGTTTGAAGCATGGAGTGCCTGGGAGTGGCAAACCTAGCTTTCACTGAAGTCTGTGGCAAGTTTTCCTTGCGAGATAAATTGGAATTTGATTGACTTTAACCTGAACAATCTGAGTTACTGACCTGAAATATTTCCTGTAGTGTGTCTCTTAGGGAAGATGCCAGGTAATAAATTATTTCTTGCTTCTGCAACTAGCCCCTACAAGAAAGTGGTGAAGTAATGCATTATAGCTGTGAAAAAGGAGGGGCTAATTGGGCAGTCCAATGTCAAAGAGAAAGATTAAATCATTTGCTGTGCTTGTGGGAACAAAACAATTTAGGTTAGTAGTCAAGCGTATTTGCAGAGAGTATATTTGAAATTTGTAAACAGAATTATTCCCTGAGGAAATGCAGTTCTCATAGCTCTGCTCCTTATGCGAGGAACCAAAATGCACAGCAGCCACACAACATATCCTGAAGTTTGAATCCCCATGCTCAATCCTATGTAATAAATGCTTGTAAAGAAAGTACAGACCAAGAATCACTCACAGATGTGATTTGACATAAATACTCTTCCTCTGGACTGTTGCAAAATGCAAACATGGTAGGAATATCAGGATAAGAAAAGGCTTACTTAAAACCAGGAGCAAATATTTGCTGAACATCTCTTGAATATTCATAGTTTAAACAACTGAAAAGAAAAAGGATTCATGATCAGTCTGTTTTGCTGTTCAAAGATTCTTCGTGTTAACAAATCTACTGTGTCTATCTAATGTATCTATCTACAGCCCATGGTAGGGGTTGGAACTAGATGATCTTTAAGGTCCCTTCCAACTCAAACCATTCTATAATTCATTCTATGTTTTCTGGTATGGCTTAAAATAGCTTGATGTACATTAAAGACAGTCACATCCATAGCTGTGTGCACCCCGAAATAAAACAGTTCTAACCTTTGGCTAATGCATCATTCCTACAAGGGAATAAAGGTTTTCTCAGCATAGCAGTCTCAACTTTTTCACTATTCCTGCAGCACTTCACAATTTAGGCTTGTCAACTATTGATACTCAGGCAGAAAGATACTACTGTTGTGGGTGGGTGTGGAATTTGAACCAGCTGTCTCCCACACCCACTTTTTAAGATGATGAACAGGGAAGAAAACAACCCTGAGAGGGATGGAGAACCTACAGAACTGTACAATCACTCCTGCTCAGGGTGAGTTGGAGCATGTGAGGCAGACTCTATCTGCAGCTCTGCACCTGGCGAATGAGTACACAGGGTACTGAGCTGCATTGGTATGGGGGCCTCATTGTAAGCCTTGTTTTCAGATGTCAGTACTGGGTTATGGAAGATAATTATAAGTTTTCTTATCTTCGAGCACTGACAGAAACACTGCAATTTGATAAACATAAGATCCCCCAGATTTAAACACCAGATTATATCCTTTCAAATTATAGGACACTGGGTGCTCACACAGTAGTTAGATGACCAGGAACTGTAAATTCTCTTTGATTAGATTTTTTTCATATGACCTCTTGTGTATGTTTGTTATGGCTGAGTAAATACTTTTGGGTTCTTTGGTAGATCCCAGTACCCTGGTATAACACCACATACCTCTGCACTAGTGCCATCCCAGATACCGTCACCCTCCTAAATACATATTACTGTCTTCATCCTGGATATCATGGTGTCACAGAAGCTTTGTTAACCTGTCAATAGAAAGTTCAGTGAGTAGACAGTGATGGATTGTGTATGTAAATTACCTCTTGACTGCAGGAAACAAGCAATTTATGATACATTTACATATCTATTTGCAGAACTCTGGTTTGTGCTGCAGCTTTGATAATGCTTACATGTGGGACCAAATCTTACCAGAACCCTTCTCATTTGTTAACTAACTCCAGCAAATAAATTAGATTGAGAAAGGACCTACAGAAGAGACTGCAATGATAAGGCTAATGGGATCCTAAGAAGGTTTGATCAAGAAATTCCTAGCAATTCCCTCCCTCACCCCTCCCCTTGCAAAGCTGTCAGCTTTTAATGGAAATGAGTATAGCGTTTCAACAGAGATGTCATGTCTGGTCAAGGAAGGGTATGACTAAAGGAGCAGTAGTTCACTGTTTATTCCAGAAGCTTTGCGACTGCAATTCAGATCTGTCTCCTAACAAATTTAGACCAAAGACTTGCACTCAGACTCCTGCATTACTGTGAGGTACTGATGCCGAGTGTGAGATTTAGTCTTTAGTGAGTCAGTACCACTTAAGAGCTCTTTAATATAAATTTTTTTCTCCAATCCATTCGCTGTCCTCTAGACACTCTCTGCTTCAGCTTCCTGTTTATTTTCAACCACCCAGTTTTCATGTTAGCTGAATACAATAATAAAACAATTATCAGAAATAAACGAACAGCTTTACTGTTGCCCAGGAGAGAGCATTGTGTGGGGATGTGTGTGCCTGAACAGGCTTGTAATACTAGAGAAATGACAAGTCTTCTCCCAGTCAGTCACAGTTCTTAAAGATATGAAGACTCAATACACAGAAAACAACATCCTAGTTACATACACAGATTTCCACTATAAGAAAGCTCTCTGGAAGGAAGCAGAATCAGACTGCCACAGGCAGTTGCATATGAACTAGCTGCCTTTGTCAACATTATCACTCTAGGACCCTGTCAGTACCCAAGGGGGAAATTTGTCAGGAGATATGCTGCAATAATACTGCATGAATAATGGTCAGGTTTCATTACCAGTCACTCTGGCGGGTCCAGCAAGGCCAAGAATTGTCAGCCCTGTAAACTGAATAGCATTCCTGCCTTTATGAATGTGAGGAAAACTACATCAGGAGGGAACCTGCACCTGCTCATGGGAGCTGTGCAGTAAGCAAGCATCTACCCTTCACAAAAGCTTGTGGGGCAGGAGAAGGGTTTACTACACCAGAACAAAGTCCCATGTCTGTTGTCAAGAGCTTGCAGCCACTGCTATTTCAAATCCTTCACCCAGAACAGCTCAGCACTCATGGAGTTCCTTTCAGTCGTTGCTAGTTATCCTATGGATGCTACGGCAAGTGTGGAGGCCATCACTAAAACATCACTCTACTCACAATCTCTGGGGTCTTTGTAACCCAGTACTGTAGTGGAGAGAGGAATTACCCACAGCTGCCAGAACAGGCATATATTTTCCCCCTGCTGATGTCCATAGCAGTGTTACTAACTGTAAGAAGGGTTGGAACAGTTTATTTTCAATGAATATTGCAAAACAATCCTGACAAAAGAAGCTCCACATGATTAGTGTTAGCCAAGTAAACGCAGCTGACACCTTACACAAGAACTGACATAGAACATTACAGAATGAAACCTCCTCCCAGTTTGCCAGGCTCCAGTAGCTTGGAGGACAAAACAACTGCTTGCTCTTCAATTAAGTCTAGTTCTTAGGAGCATAAAGGCTCATTGCCCAGAAGAGACCATTTGCTGCTAATTGCTCCTTTCAGATTTGTAAACATGGTTCTTCACAGTACAAAGATAACTCATCTGAAGAGTTGCACTCTTTCAAGGAGGACATAGAAACCTACCACAACCTGTTCAAACAAGCTGATTCTTCAATGTCACATATTGCATTCTGGCAATGAAAAGCCTGCGAGCAGGCTAGAGAGCATGGGTTACTTCCTAAAGTGTTTTGATAACAATTTCAGGGAGGGGGGAGAGGGAGGAAGGGAAAGGAATAACTGTTCGACCAGGGCAATTTACAAACAGAAAAGGAGAATAAATTACTCATTTAAGGGTATTTGTTCATTCTTGGTGTATGTGTTATAATTCCCTTTGTGTTCTCTTTCCCTGAATTGCCCTGATTGGTATGGTTGACCTTCTTTGTCTTTTTAAACAAGGCATTCACTTTGTTTCTATTTTTATTGAACTATATAATCTCTTTATGGACTTGGTGACATTAATATCCTCAGGGGACTGTCTCGATTCCAAGTTGGTGAGCTGTTTTTCTTTCCTTTTCCCATCTATGCACAGCAATGGCATTACTACTGGCAATTAATTCAATAATCCACTGGATTGAGGAGCACCTTTCCAAGAATATTCATGAAGTGTCTTGTGAAAACATCAGGCTTGATTAGATTTTTAAACTGATCATTCCAAAATGACAGTAAGATTTGCGGTTTAACAAGTATAAATAAATATGCAGACTTAATCTGGTTTAATCTAGAGCCAAAGGATTTTTATGAAATTGTGAGAGAAACTAGAGAGATATCACATGGGTTATAGTGCATAGAATTTGGAAGATTATTTAGTTACAAAGATCAGTCTACTGAAACACAGCAAAATTTAGTGACAACAGGATAGATGCAAGGTTGGGACAAGTGCAGGGACATCGAGATTGTTCAAACTTTCCACAGCGGGAAGTACCAGTTGCTGACCAGTAGAAAACGCTAAAAGAATGTAGGAGTAAATACATCAGAAACTTTTGATTTAAGCACTTGGGTTCAGAACATAGAGGATCCCTGGGGACAGATGTCTGAATCTACTATGGCAAGGGAAGGCAGAGGAGTATTTTGTTGGATTGTTTCTAGGATTTGCATTTAGTTGAGGGGAAAAAAAATCCATTGACTTCAAGGTCCCTCAAGATTTCCACCCAAAGCACTGCACAGTGGTTTGCTTGTAAGGTAATTTAAGCAACATCTGGGGCAGAGCTGCAAGCCTGAACCATCCTGACAGTTCCCTGTTTTGCTCCATTTTCTGAGAGAACTCATCACTTGTCTCTGGGCTCTTTCCTGATGTTCAGATGAAAACATCCTGGCTTTACTCCTGGTGAAGCCAATGCAAAAGTCTGACCTTAAGTGCTGCATCCTTATCTGCTTTATTTTCTCCTACACTGAGAAATTAATGCATGCCAGGAACAGTTTCTGGAGTATAATGTTCTCTCCTGTCAATGGACAATTTTCTGCTGGGCACAGCTGAGGCCTAAGCCAACCAGCATCTCCTGGACAGGTCAGGAATTAACAGGTCTGCATCTGTTTCCAACAGGCTTTTTGGTTATTGGCCCCTTGTTTAACACAATACACATGGAATGACCTAAGCTGGTTGTTCCCCACGGCCAGGGAATGCATTTAACTTACGGGTACAAATGCCTGCTTAGACTCCATTGTACTAATGCAATGCAGTTTTGAAACCATGACCACAGGTACCCCAAAACAAAAGGCATCAGATAAGTGGTAGAGAGCTGCCTGCTTACCTGCTATATCACACACAACTAACCAAAAACATTGTTTAGCACTCCCTGGAGGTCATTGCACACAACCATTGATTTAAACTATGATAATGTGTTAGACAAACTGCTTTTGAGCACCTGCATGATTACAGGAGTCATGTATATTTAATCCTTCTCTTTTCCCCAAGTTTTCTGCCCAAGTGACCTCTGCTGCTTAGTTTTATTTTATGCTACTTCACCACAGTGGTGAAACACCCCCTGGTTAAAATCAACAGGAATGGTAAAATCTGAATTTGACTTGTATTGGAAAGGAATTGTGATGCCTGGTTCTGCTGTTGCACAGACCAGTTTATTACCTTCAGCTTCCCCTCCTTAGGATTTATCTTGAGTTACTCTCAGGCAAAGGAGGACAAAATTAGGCTCTTTAAAGCAGTCTTTCTAAAAATAAATTGACCAAAGCACTCACCATGAGGGTCCTGCAGCTGCTGGGATTTCAGTGAAGAATTTGAAAGTCTGGCTCCACCTTCAGGGTCAAAAGCCTCATGCTGACACAATAGGGAAATGCAACGTTAAGTGAGTATCCTATGGCAGGAACAGGCAGGCAGTGTTCCCAAACACACACTGCTATTTTTAAAGGAGTTGTCTTATGAAGCATATGACTTAGTGCTGCTGTTTTAAATAGGAAGTATGCATGCATGTTCTATTAGCTGGGTAAGCAGAGAGACTGCCTTACTGTATTTGTGAACGTTTCAAATGGAGAGACGGTGCAGTGGACAAGAGTACATCAGGCTAGAAAAGGCTGTGGGGCTAGAATAGCAGCATTAAGTTAATGCATGAATATCCTGATGGAAAAATGCTCCTAAGTCTCCTTAAATTTTCATGGCTATTATATTTCCATTACAAACTCCAAAAACCTGATCAAATAAGCTTTCCAGCTCTCCTTGGCTGGCACACTATAGAAGGCTGTCAATGATTTGTTACATAAATTCTTTGATAATTCTGTGCTACCTACCAATATGGAAGAGCACATTAATTTCATGCCCCTCCAAAATTCAGTGCTTCCAACTCACACCTTTCACTTAAGTTCCTATATCCTATATATCCTGTAAATATCCTATAAGTTCATACTTCACTTATTTCTCCAGCTTCTGCAGTGGAGCCATTGGAAAGGAACTTCATAAAGAAAACCCAGTGAGCCCTCCAGATTTTTTCTGCCCTGACTAATTATGAAGAGTCCTGAATACTTGATGCAAAGGAACCAGATAATCCCTGTGAATATAGGAAAAGACTTGTAAATAAGTATATATCTTCATAACCTCCCTTTTGGAGGACTTCTTATGATTTCTAAAAATTTATCATTAGCAACACCAATTTTAAAAATCACTTCTGATCTGAATGCTCACCAGAAACTGCACAGAAGCAAGTCAGATGGGAGTGTGCTAAAGCACAGTGATGGTTTAGATTGCTGTTTCTGACAGTAACAGTTCTTGGATAACTTTCCTTCAGCTCTTAGTAATTACAGGCAAGGTTAGCTAATCCGAATAATTAAGGTTTGGCAATGGGGTTTGTTTGTTTAAAAAAAGGTCTTCCCAAGGCTCTTCAGCAATGAATGTAAACCCTGATTTATGATGCACAGTGGAAGAAGAAGGAAAAAACCCAGCTTATCTTTTCTTTTCTTGGAGCTGATTCGTTACCTGCTGGGTATTTAGTAACTTTCACTGTGACCAGTATTTAAGAAGTGCAATAGTTATATATATACCTAAGCAGAAATCAAGATTCCATACAGCAGCAGCAACGATGCTTCGTGCTCACTCACTTTTCACTTCTTTTTGCTCCCTTAGTGGGCTGTTATAACACTTTTTGAGCCAAGCTGCTAGCCAGATCATTAAATCAATTGAGGTGAGAAAAAAAGCACTAAACACAGGTAAACTCTTTCACTGACTATTTCTATTACTTTGCATTTTCAAAAATGACACCTGACAGCTCCTCGGGTTCACTTTTTTTCAGGAGGATGATATGTCTTTTTTTTACTATAAACTCTAAATGTTTTGGGATTTAATCTGGAAAATTCTATTGCTGTTGTTCAAGCTTATTTGGCAAACATTCTTCAGCTCCATCATCAGCTCAGCCTTTGAAGGGAAAAACCCATGAAGTTAGAGACCATAAGCTGTTCTTCCAACAAGTGTTAAGCAATTCAAGCTTCATTCATCTTGTTACAGAACTAAACAGCTGCTTATTGGAATAAGGGAATTACAGTCCTCTGTCAAGCTCACTTCTTGCATTTGCTGGATATAAAAGGATACCCAAACCTAATCAGTTCATTTAGTTAATGTATACTGGTTTAAGAAAAAGAGGGGGAAAAAGTACCTGTTAATGAATACTATATACTAAACTTCTATTTTAACCTGCTGGTAGAGTAATGCTTGGCTTAAACTTTAAAAGCTTATTGGTATCACTTTAAAGTATAGAGGTAAAAGTACTTCATAGGGGAAGTTCTAATTACTCATCTGAATATGTGCTTCTCTTCAAACTGTTCCACAATTTTGTCCTCACTGCTATCCAGTGGCACAATTTTTGTTTCCTTCATTTATAAAGATATCTCTCCCCACAGATGAGGCTTTGTCTGTGGTGGGGTTGGTCACCTTAGGGCTTTGGTGCTATGAGCTGTTTATGATGGCTGCTGATCAAGCCACTTCTCAAGTAATGAAAAATTGCTCACCACCTTGTGGGGGTTTGGCATTCTTTGCAAAGAGTTGGTGCCGTTCCAGGTTTTAGTAGACAGCTGTCATGCAACAGCACGTGCAACAGCACGAGCTATGAAATGCCTTTGTCAGGGAGTGATGGCCAGCTGCTCCCTGAGGTGCAGGAATACAGAAACTATGTCCAACTCGGGCCCCCAACATAGGAAGGACATGACCTGTTAGAGAAAATCCAGAGTCCAGAATGACAGCCTTATTCTGGGCTGCCCCACCAGCAGAATGAACAGCAGGTTGAAGGAAGGGATACTCTCTCTCTGCTCTGCTCTGGTGAGGCCCACCCTGCAGCCCTGCATTCAGCTCTGGGCCCACAAAATAAGAAGGACATAGACCTGTTAGAGTGAATCCAGAGGGGGCCACAAAGATGATCAGGTGGCTGGAGTCTCTGCCATGGAGACAGGCTGAGAGACCTGGGCTTATTAAGCCTGGAGAAGAGAAGCCTCTAGGGAGAGCATAGAGCAGCTTCCAGTGCCTAAAGGGGACAAAAAAGATGGAGAGGGGCTTTTGACAAGGGCTTGTAAAGATAGGACAAGGGGGGATGGCTTTAAACTAAAAGAGGGGGGATTTAGATTAGATATTAGGAAGAAGTTCTTCCCTGTGAGGGTGGTGAAGTCCTGGCACAGGTTGCCCAGAGAAGCTGTGGCTGCCCCATCTCTGGCACTGTTCAAGTTCAGGCTGGATGGGATTTTGAGCAACCTGGTCTTGTGAAAGGTGTCACTGCCTGTGGTATGTGGCTGGAACTAGATGAGCTTTAAGGTACCTTCCAACCCAAACTATTCCATGGGGCTAAACCAGTCAGCAGGGCTACCACCCCACTGGCCAAGATCCTGTCTCACAGCAACCCAAAGCAAGGCAAATCCAGAAATGGCACCAAGGTTCAGACAAAAGTCAAAATAGTCAGGCAAATTGATGCTGATGAGGCAAGTCCAAGGTTAGGCCAGGAAGTCAATGTTAGGATCAGGTCTAGCAATAATAACCAGAGTCATCAAGTCCTGTGATTGCCACACAGGTCCATGATGACACAGTCAGCCCAAGGTGAAGCTGGGAAGTGAGCCTGTGTGTCAGTCTTTATCTATGGCACCCATGTCCAAACACAGGTATGACATATGTGCTTCCCTGAGTTTGTCTTGATTTCTGATGTAGCAGAACCTAAAATGAAGCCCTGCTTCACAAGAAACTTTTCATCCCAGTTAGAATCAGGGCACTTTTGAAAACTGGCATTTAGGTTATTGAGTACTACTTAGTTTCCATAGGAAGAATATATGCAGAACAGAGTAACCAAATTAGGATAATGCCTCCTTAAGGTCAGATTGCTGTTACCTGAAGGACTGGAAGCAAGTTGAGTCCCCAGAAATCCAACTGGGTGCTTCTGAAATGCTAGAACCAAAGAGTCAAACAAGAAACTGTCCCCCTGAAAAGCCTAACAGGCCTTAATTATGAAGGTGGTATGAAGCCTTCCAGCATAATTTGACTCCTCAGTCTTGGATAATACAGAATTCATTGTGGTAGCTCATTCTTACTGATGACTGTAGTCTTTTTCTCTTGGTAAACCTCTATAATCTGTGCATTTATCACCTTCACGCTATGCTACAGTGACTCACTCATTGCCTGGACACCAGCAACTACAGGACAGGACTATTTGTATCCTCATGGCTCTGCCAATTCAGTGGTTCTCAAAACAGGGCATGTAAAAGCCTAGGACAAACTTCTGTGTGCCACTGGTATCTGTCTATGGGACAATCTGCTTGAGAAGTTCAAGCAGCTTCATTTCCTATTTTTCTTCAGGAAAAATTTCAACACCTCAGTTTTGGAGATCCCTCCCATTTTGAAATTATCCCACAATTTCTCTCATCACCACAAAACAACTGAGCCAAAACAACACTGTAGCCTTAAATACATTCTGAATCTAAGAAGGAGAAATGCCAGAAAATCTGTACAGTACTGCTGTTGCTCTTGATTGGATATGGAAAGGAATAACATATTATTGTGACAGTTGACAGCATCTGTCTCCAAAGCAGATAGATTATGGATATGTCTCCTGGGAAATATCTACGTTCTGCAATGTGCTGCCAAGGCTGAAATACTCGGCTAGTCTCAACTAAGCTAATTCTGGACATGGAAACAATATAGTTGTGTTAGTAGGATGTTCCACTCCGATAATTTAGCCTTTCTAGTTGACCCATCATAGCTCCATTTTTAGAGAGATATGGCCTGTGAAACAATGAGTTTCCATGACTGTCATCCAGAGCTTCCCACAGAAAGGAGAGCACACATTACTTTAGGAGACAACAATGGCAGACCCATGGGTAAAACAAACTAGCTTCAGAAGAAGTAAAATATGCTAAATTAATCAGAGATTAGTCATGGCTTCTTGCTTCATCGCTAGAATCAACCTAAGTTTATGCTGATTATTGCACTGGAGTGAGCCCTGATAACAGTACTTACCCCCTAAGATTAAAGTTCTCATGTCCATGAAGATTTGTGTGCAGTCAGCCAGATTTCCAAGGTCAGACGGAGTGTCTTTTTATTTAAAAAAATTCCATAAGTTTTTCTTATATGAATTTGCCCCTTCTATTTCAATATGCATTCCAATATTGCTTATTAATTCTGTGTATTTGTGTGTTTTCTACATTTTCCTCTTCTGAATAAATCTTTGGGAAATGCATGGTTTAATCAAAACTGGAGAAAGAAAGAGATTTTCTTTTTCACTTGAAATTCTGTCAAGTACAAAAAAAAATCAATTTTAAGTGGATAATAGAAAAAGTCCTCATGAAACAAAATTAATAATATCAAATGCTGTTCGTTTTGGGGGCACTAAAAATGTTTCATTATGATTTGTTCTCCTTTTGTTTCATGGGAAATAAAGCAAACCAAAAAGCTATTTTAAAATAGAAA